CAACATCTCTACAGTTTCTATACATGGAAAATCTGGAACGATAACCTTTGATAGAGATTTGTCAAGAACATCGAAATTTTGATTTATAGATGTCTATTCTATTGATATTATTTAGTACGCCATCTTTGAAATACAATTTGCTGCAAATTACAATTAGTGATGATCATCGCATTTCAATCTGCCATCTTTCGAAAATAAATGACACTTAACTGTTTTAATAACCTTACCAGATTATTTTAGATTTTATAAACTAAAATAAGACTGTAAGGTGGTTCATAATCTTAGAAAAATCAACCAAAATACAAATTGCATTGAGTTTTGTGATGATGCCTTTGAAATTTAAAACAAAACACTCTTCTAAATATTAGCTGTTCTATCTCTTGTTCATTGTCTATTGACCTACTGCCGGGCCTACTGCACACTTTATCAAGTTCATTAGCTCACAGCCTCACTATCGAGTTATTCAATGCAAAATTCAATAGAAATTGACAGTTATTCAGCTCTAAAACTATAATTAGTGGTGATACCGACGTGACTTAACATTATGCATACTAATTGGACTAATGGTACAACACCCTCATCGAAAATGTCAGTCTGTATTAAAAATGGACATCTGACAAGGGATGCACTTTTTTAATTTCACACTAAGGCTAGATATGTCCCCTGGGCAGTAAACTTATTCGATCATTGGCTGCTAGAACTTTTAAGTCTCGGGAAGAAAGAAGGTCAGATAGCATTTCATTTTCACATACATTCATGGAAAACAAGTCCAATAATATCGCCCTTTCATCTCCGTATTTAACTTACTTTGATTCATACACGCAACAATAAGATCATGAATTTAAAGAATGGTGTCGTTAGGGAGAGCGCTACTAGCAGCATATCTGGCCGTGATGTTGCTTCTTTCGGCACATCTTGCAATTTGTAACGCAATGCAATGACTTATTACAATGAGCGGAGTGTATTGATTCTGTGGTTATCTTATGGCTTCAACTATTAACATCAGTTTAGACATTATATTAATTAATTCTAATAATACCAATGTCAGGTTGTTACTTTTAAAAGCTATAACAAAACCGTTAAATGAGAAGAGAATTAGACAAATTGTTTTTCCATCGGAATCGGATTTCTGCATTACCTTAATGAAAGGATGTAGATCGATAAATTCTAGAAATGGAGATCCTTTGGATTCTGCTCCAGACGTCCTGCTCGTCTTCCGGTTTGTTTTGATGAATTATTAGGCTTTAACATATTCTGTATACGAGGATAGGCTAACAAGATATCGTATGGTCATTTTCATTCAGTCATTTTGGAATTATTTAACCAAAATACTACAGATTCGAAATGTAAATTGCTAAACGCTCCAAATTATTTTAAAAAAGAAACTAAATTATTTCAAAATTTAGTCCATACAGTTTTTACAAGCAGGTCAAGCAGGTTTTTTTTTAATTTTACATATCATATTTTACTTGTTTTTCAGGTGTATTAGTGAAAGTAGGGTATACATTGACAGCTTGAACCTTGCAGTCGTTCAGAAAAATATTCACGAGCATGTAAAAAATATCATCGTAGGTTGCACAATAAGGATAACTTGTTGCAGCAAAGAAAATATATTCCAGAATACGCATTTATTCTAACTGAGACTAACGTAATACTAACATAACATTTTATGTTAGTCTTAGGTTTTAAACGAGTTGTTTTCATAATGGGCCCATGGGGACTCAACGAATGAGTCTCATTCTGATAAGTTTCTGTATAAGGTCATTCCAAGCGCCGCCACAAGGGGTATTCAAACTGAACACATTTCAAGTAAGATGTTGATATGAAATAATGATATTGCTATGAAACTATATTGTTCTAGTCAATCTACATTCAAATGACATAATCACATCCATATGCATTTATATATCTCTGATGAGATTGATGATTGCGAGAAAATCTATTTCTTCCAGACAGTAAAACTGTAATAATTATGAATCATTGTCATCAAGATTATATTAATCATTAAAACACAGATAAGGTCAAGTTGTCTTCTTGTTCCATCTACTGATGATGGTTCTCGTCGAGACAACTAATTAGCGTAGATAATTACTTGCAATTCTAGATAACTTAATGCATATTGCAATTTACAAGGATTATGTTACTAATATTTGCTTTGAAGTTCAGAGACGTTATACTGGATTAATCAACGCTTCCGCCCTTGGTAAACGATCATATTGAGCTCAATGAAGGATGTCACTAAAATTGCTTATCAGAGAAAAGTCGTAATTAATCATCTACATCGGTAACTGTTGAATAATTCAACCAGGTCACGAAGTTTTTATGATCAACCATTACCATAGAGAGAATATCAACTTTCTATATTCTGATACATATGCACACTGATTCCAAATACAAGACCTCGTTAAAACAGCTTTACGTCCAAAAAGTGAAAATATTCTTCTACAATCTACAATGAAAACGAAAAGGTAATAACTAGCAACCCATGTCTGAATTTTAAGTAATGTTATGCTAAATATGATGGCCTAAATATGTATGTAATAAAATATGTTGGCTTTCAGAACAGATGTATATAGCAAATGAAGTTAGCTTTCAGAACATATGTATATGTTAAAAAAGACGTTAGCTTTCAGAACAGATGTAAGCAGCAAAGAAAGTTACCTTTCAGAGGAGATGTATGTAGCGAGGAAGTTTAGCCTTCAAAACAGACATATCTAGAAAAGGAAGTTAGCTTTCAGAACTAAGGTATGTAGCAAGGGAACTTGGCTTTCAGAACAGATGTAGGTAGCAAAGGAAGTTGGCTTTCAGAACAGATGTATGCAGCAAATAAAGTTAGCTTTCAGAGGAGATGTATGCAGCAAATAAAGTTACCTTTCAGAGGAGATATATGTAGCAAGGAAGTTTAGCCTTCAAATCAGACATATCTAGACAAGGAAGTTAGCTTTCAGAACTAAGGCATGTAGCAAGGGAACTTGGCTTTCAGAACAGATGTAGGTAGCAAAGGAAGTTGGCTTTCAGAACAGATGTATGCAGCAAATAAAGTTACCTTTCAGAGGAGATATATGTAGCAAGGAAGTTTAGCCTTCAAATCAGACATATCTAGACAAGGAAGTTAGCTTTCAGAACTAAGGTATGTAGCAAGGGAACTTGGCTTTCAGAACAGATGTAGGTAGCAAAGGAAGTTGGCTTTCATAACAGATGTAGGTAGTAAAGGAAGTTAGCTTTCAGAACAGATATAGGTAGCAAAGGAAGTTGGCTTTCAGAACAGATGTATGCAGCAAATAAAGTTAGCTTTCAGAGGAGATGTATGTAGCAAAGGAAGTTAGCTTTCAGAACAGATGTACAGGGTGTCAAAAACAACGGCACCCCCCTCTACAGCAAAAATTCCTGAATGTTCAGTATCGTGTCATATCTCATTTGAAAGATAATTTAATTCTGGAGTTACTCCTCAAATTTCATTTAATAAAACTTTATATTAAAAAAGTTACATTGTTTTTAAGTTTGCTACTTCGGTACTTTGTTTGCTGCTCTGTTACAGGTCAAATCTTTAGAAAGTGGAATATGAAAGAATTAGCCCAGATTTCAACTGCACTGGACATATGGGTTCAGTTCTGAAAAACAGGGTATAGGAACTGATGGACAAAGAGCCTTTTGAAAAAAAGATACAGTTACGATGTATTTCTGAAGAATGTTAGGAATGTGCTTAGATGATTCTGCAATGCTACACCTTTATCTGAATTTTAATTGAAATCATATCGGTCCAGATAAGCTGCTATTTGAGCAGCAACTGGTGGTCATACCAACTACTATGAATCAGTTGCAAATCTGTATACTTATATGATATACAGCTGAAATTTCTCAGGTAACTCCAGAATTAAATTGTCTTTAAAATGAGATATGACACCCCATGTAACATTAAGTACTTTTTGCTGTAGAGGGGGGTGCCGTTGTTTTTTGACACCCTGTATATGACGTAAAGGAAGTAAGTTTTCAGAACAGATGTAGGTAGCAAAGCAAGTTAGCTTTCAGAACAGATGTATGCAGCAAAGGAAATTAGATTTCAGAGCGTATGTAGCAAAGGAGTTAAGCATTCAAAACATACGTATGTAACAAAGGAAGTTAGCTTTCAGAACAGATGCATATGACGTAAAGGAAGTAAGTTTTCAGAACAGATGTAGGAAGCAAAGCAAGTTAGCTTTCATAACAGATGTATGTTACAAAGGAGTTAAGCATTCAGAACAGATGTATGTAGCAAGGGACGTTAGCTTTTAGAACAAATGTATGTAGCAAAGGAAGTTATCTTTCAGAACAGAAGTACGTAGCAAAGGAAGTTGGCTTTCAGAACAGAAGTACGTAGCAAAGGAAGTTGGCTTTCAGAACAGGTGTATGTAGCAAAGGAGTTAAGCATTCTGAACAGATGTTTGTTACAAAGGAGTTAAGCATTCAGAACAGGTGTATGTAACAAAGGAAGTTGGCTTTCGGAACAGATGTACGTAGCAAAGGAAGTAAGCATTCAGAACAGGTGTTTGTTACAAAGGAGTTAAGCATTCAGAACAGGTGTATGTAGCAAAGGAAGTTGGCTTTCGGAACAGATGTACGTAGCAAAGGAAGTAAGCATTCAGAACAGGTGTTTGTTACAAAGGAGTTAAGCATTCAGAACAGGTGTATGAAGCAAAGGAAGTTGGCTTTCGGAACAGATGTACGTAGCAAAGGAACTAAGCATTCAGAACATATGTACATAGCAAAGGAAGTAAGCATTCAGAACAGGTGTTTGTTACAAAGGGGAGTTAAGCATTCAGAACAGGTGTATGTAGCAAAGGAAGTTGGCTTTCAGAACAGATGTACGTAGCAAAGGAGTTAAGCATTCAGAACAGACGTACTGTATGTAGCAAAGGAAGTAAACATTCTGTACATATTATATGTATTTAGAAGAGTAAATAAGCTTTTAAAACAGATGAATGTATCTGATGGTGTGAGTAATTAGTTTACAGTATGTATACCTATCTTTTATTGTCGGGTTGTCATAGCAAACGGATCCATTTTTTACCAAATATCCTTTCTTTCTTCTCGCTTCTTTGATAGGTTCTGCACATATTGAATTAGCTCGAAATTGTCCAAGCGCTTTCTTTTTTAACGAGGTGGTCTTTGTCGTGTATGTTCTTACTAACTTTTCTTTAGCTGTAGTAAACTCCTTTCCCTCTTCAATAGTATGGAGATCTAGCATTGACCCACCAAATAGTGAATTGAATCTGGCAATCCGAGACATATTTTCAGTTTCAAATAACAATATTCGAGTTTGTTTCATCCAAATTTGAGTTGATATATCCTTGGCAGGCTTAATTAACGTTTTAAATGAAAATGATCAACATTAAACGTTGCTGTGTCGTCTATTCGAACCTTATTTTTTAGATTATAATTGGCAAAACGCAATATTGTAGCCAACAAATAATAAATTGCCGTATTTCACGAAGCATCCATAGCATTAAACAGATTCAAAGCATTATATACATCCAGCTGTAGCTATGGAAAAAGCATATTTTCTTAATTAACTATACGCTATTGATATGTCGATACGTATAAAGTACTTATAATATAAATAATGAAACATTGTAGAATTCCCTGGGTAGTTTGTTATATCAAGAGTGCATTCGGCGCATTTTCGACATCTAAAGACATTCGTTCGTTCCCTTAATTCCAAGAGTTTATCACACGGATTAGTGTGCCCTTATATCACCTCCTGCTTGTCGCTGTAACACTTTATTCTGATCCTTTATGTTCGGGAAGCTTGACTTTTATTGAACGACAATCCTTTGCCGTAGCTGGTTTTAATCTCAACAAAGTTCTATTTACTTCGACAAATTATCCAACAATGAGCATTCTGTACAGTTCTTTTTTATTTCCATATATCTGTATTCAAATGAACCTCCGCAACATACTAGTGCCAGTGGAGGATGTGTTTATCTTTAGATTAATCAATATCATGGAGTGTGATCTAGTAATAATTTCCTTATAATGTCAAGTACGCCATATGATAATATAAGGAAATCTAAGTGACAAAACCAAAGGGAGATTGTGATGTAGTTCTCCTTAATTCCTAACAAAAAGTCTATCTGAACTGAGAAACGACATATTTTCCCCACTTCATAAATGGATTAGAGAAACTAAGCAATGTAAGGATCTCGTTTGAGTACGACTGAGTCTTCTGTAAATACATAAAACTCCAAAATTGGAATAATTGTCATAATGATTAACTACCATTAAAATGAATTCAAGACTGATAGCATTTATATAACATTGGTTAGATATAAAACACCGCCCAACATTTAACACGAGTTAGTTTCCTTCTCTCTCTCTCTCTGTCTATCCACATTTAATATACACGTCCCGTCCGCCCATTACACCCCGGAATAGCCTGACAACGGTAAAGTAAGATACCGTTGTCACAAATGGCGAACATAACAGTCGCTTCAATTAGATTTTCATGAACTGTATGTTTAATAGAGCACCTAGACTAAATTCCTTTGGAACAACAATCAATGAGTGTCTTAATACTCATTGTACAGTTAATAATGTTCTACCCTCGAAATAAAGACTAATTTAACAGATCAAAATGAGATACGGGACAACGGACACTGTAATTACCATATACAGTTGTCTTTTTAAATTTCTCAAATTCAGATTCCGTTGTCATTGACGATATCGAAGACGCTATATTGTGGCGATTCACAACCCAATTTGATCGAAATGGGATTTCATATGATACATTTAACACAAGAGCTGAATACATGCACAGCATTAGCGAAGATAAAAATCCCTTGAAATGAGGATCAAGTGATTAAACAGTTGAAGCGACGGCTGTGTCTGCCATTTGCGACAACCGGTATCTGACTTTACCGTTGTCAGGCTATTCCGATGTGCATTAGTTTGCAACCAAATTATAATATTCTCTAATTGATTACAAGTAAAAGGCTGTCAATATATGTTTGCATTGTTATCTGCAAAAGCTGTCACAATTAGAAAACTGCTTCTTTTTATATTTGCAATAATTTCTTCTAGAAAGTATTGACTCTGATGAGCTTTCAAAGTCGTTATTCTCAAACTAATGCGAAATTCGTAATTCATAAAAATCCCAAAACAAAACGTATCAAAATATCAGAAATTTTAGCATTCGAGAGACTTTATGTTTTGAATATTCACTATGTGACCAATCATACGAACATGAAGAGAGTCTTCGTTTAAAATGGCTAACCTTTTCTCCACATAGCGATTACATTTAGAAGTTAAGAATTACAAATTCTCAGCCATTCCAGAAAACCCATTCGCCTCCTGTGCCATTTTCACTAATTTTGACTTTGAAGACCCATGCCATTTTTGCTTCTGAAGAAACATATCAATTATCTGTCAAATAAAGGCAAATTCAATTATACACATGGAGTTAATCTTTTCGAGTGCTGGAACGAAGCGACATCGTTTTATTGAATGATCACATTTATACTTTCCCCTAGGTTAACATGGGAACGGCGACTTTTAAAGTTCACCGACGCCATCAACATCCGAAAATATCCCAAAAATGAAACAACAAAACGGTTTATATTAGAAATTCAGATAATTACATAGAACTGATCCATTGGGCTGCAATACGTTTAGTCCAAGAAGAATTTGCGTAACATGGAAACAACCTAAGTCTAGTGCATTAAGAATTGGCAGCCGAAATTATTTACATGGTCAATAATTCCTGTGTTTAAATTCAAAGAAATAAATAAGTTCTTCATAAATGGACAGAAGACAGATGCATGGCCATCTTTGATCGATCATTTTACACAAACGTCAGAATATCCATTGTCGTTGTGTTATTCCTGATTGATATGGCCAATACTGACTCTGGTTTCAGTGTACAGTTATTCAATTATCTTATAATGTCAGTGGCAGCGATATATATCACGAGAGGGGGGGATATAGGACGAGGCTTTGAGTTTGGCACGGTAACTAGATGGTTAATTGTTCACCACGTATACATTTCAACAGGCGTCAAATTCAATATCCAAACCGACCGTACATAACTGCTTTATCCTATACCAAGTAGAGTTTTCTAATTTTCTTTCATTTTTTCGTCAGATATGCACATCTACCTTAGGTCCCTACGGTCCCTCAGGTAGATATGCATATCTCCCTCTGGATGAACCCCATATCCAAAACCTCCCAGTACATAACCCTTATGTATTATGAATGTGACCAATACCTCATGGATATATCCCGTATGTATGGTCGTAATTAACGCATAATCATTAAAAGCAGGCCCAGGAACCCCTCCTTGAAGGAGCCTTGTGTTATTCTATATGCACTCATACATAGTCATTATACAATAACACACACGTTTTACGAGTTATGGGCCACCCTGAAGTACCTTACTCAAAAAAGCAAATCATATTTGTCTGAACCGGGGATCGAATCCGGGGCATGCGCATGATCAATAATAATTGGTACACACGCTACCGCTGAGACGCATGAGTGGACCTTGCAATGGTAATGGTATGGCAAATATCTTAATATGTTTCCCACGGCGTATCCTAAAGTGCTAGAAAAATTGTTCATACGCTTCAAAATTGTGTTAGTGTCCTCCTTGCGAAAATCGAAAAAAATTAAAAGGTGCTTCTGTGCCGAACAGCAAATTCTCATTATACATTGAGAAGCTACTCTTTACCAAGAAACCAAAAATGGAAGTTTTGACGGAAAGACATGACGTACAAGTCAAAATCTCTGAATCTTGCTAGGTACATGACAGATAAAGAGAATTTAAATCCTGATCGGCAAAAAAGCGGCTAATAACTTACATACCCAGCAAACAGTGACGTCCATGTCACGTCACTCATATGTGGTATATAAGTTCACTGAAGACGTTGTATATTTCCGTTATATAAACGTCAAAGCAACGTAAAATTGTGACATTCAGCAAAACGTCGGTGGATGGTTAAAAAATGACGTTGTAGTAATGTGTTAGTAAAGTTCGAAATTTGTGCTGGTGTGAAAAACGTAACAATGACGTTGAATTTTTACCAGTTTGGTTAATTTGCAACGTAATATAAACGGTAAAATTTAACGTTGTCGTAACGTTTTTTAAATGTGTAAAATATTTGTAAGTGCAGGAAACATTACAAAGACGTTGCAGTTCTCACCAAATTGTTTCATTTGCTACGTAATATAAACGGTAAAATTTGACGTTGTCGTAACGTGTTTTAAATGTGAAAGATATTTGTAAGTGTAGAAAACGTTACAAAAACGTTGTGTTCTCACCAAATTTGGTACATTTGCTACGTAATGTAAACGGTAAAATTTGACGTTGTCGTAACGTGTTTTAAACGTGAAAGATATTTGTAAGTGTAGAAAACGTTACAAAGACGTTGCACTTCTCACCAAATTGTTTCATTTGCTACGTAATATAAACGGTAAAATTTGATGTTGTCGTAACGTGTTCTAAATGTGAAAGATATTTGTAAGTGTAGAAAACGTTACAAAGACGTTGTGTTCTCACCAAATTTGTTACATTTGCTACGTAATGTAAACGGTAAAATTTGACGTTGTCGTAATGTGTTTTAAATGTGAAAGATATTTGTAAGTGTAGAAAACGTTACAAAGACGTTGCACTTCTCACCAAATTGTTTCATTTGCTACGTAATATAAACGGTAAAATTTGATGTTGTCGTAACGTGTTCTAAATGTGAAAGATATTTGTAAGTGTAAAAAACGTTACAAAGACGTTGTGTTCTCACCAAATTTGGTACATTTGCTACGTAATGTAAACGGTAAAATTTGACGTTGTCGTAACGTGTTTTAAATGTGAAAGATATTTGTAGGTGTAGAAAACGTTACAAAGACGTTGCACTTCTCACCAAATTGTTTCATTTGCTACGTAATATAAACGGTAAAATTTGATGTTGTCGTAACGTGTTCTAAATGTGAAAGATATTTGTAAGTGTAAAAAACGTTACAAAGACGTTGCGTTCTCACCAAATTTGGTACATTTGCTACGTAATGTAAACGGTAAAATTTGACGTTGTCGTAACATACGTGTTTTAAATGTGAAAGATATTTGTAAGTGTAGAAAACGTTACAAAGACGTTGCAGTTCTCACCAAATTGTTTCATTTGCTACGTAATATAAACAGTAAAATTTGACGTTGTCGTAACGTGTTTTAAATGTGAAAGATAATTGTAAGTCTAGGAAACGTTACAAAGTCCTTGTTTTCCCACCAAATTGGTTCATTTGCAACGTAGTGAAAATGGCTAATTGTAACATTGTCAAAACATGGTTTGAATGTGAAAAATATTTGTAATTGTAAAACACGTTACAAAGACGTCATTTTCTGACCAAAATGGTTCATTTTCAACGTAGTGCAAACGGTTAATTTCAACGTTTTCGAAACGTGTTTTCAATTGAAATGTAAAAAAATATTTGTAAGTGCAGGAAACGTTACAAAAAGACGCTATGTC